TTCTGGACTTATTTTGACATTGTGAACCAGGCCATTATACCACTCCTTTTAAAATCCTGGCTTAGAGCACTCTGCAGAACCAGCACTTGTCTCATGCAGCCTTTCCCAACTCAGAGGTCCATTCTGGAGTTGTAGCCCAGAAGATCCAGACTTGGCTTCTTCTGAAATGCTGTGTTGTTAACAGCTGGCTCAGGTTTCGACGAGTCCCTTGATGAGATAATACTGTTTAGGTCTGTGTACTTTCTTCCACAAGGGTCCCAAGACCTGACCCAGGGCAGGAACTGACCAAACCCAACTTTGCTTAGCTTTAGCAAGGTTGTTTTGGAAACCTTCATCTTACGTTTCTAGATGTGACCATCAGTATTTTGGGTTGTAACTGATGCTCTCTGTGTGTAATTGGGAAACACAGTCTAGCTGGGCAGTGATATTACTGTCACTAGTCCCTCTCCAGGCCTTTTGCTGGTGTAACAAATAAAGATTTTGTCTAATCCTGACGATAAATCCTGCCATCTGCTCAACTGGGACAGAGAGAGGAAGGAAGCAAAGGCAGCGGCTTCCCTTGGCCAGCCGTCTCCGGAAGGATGGACATTGTTGCCTAGAAGGGAAAACTGGTTTCTCTCTGATATTTGCACAAGGAGTCTGATGAAATGAATTCCAAAAAGCTGTCCAGCCCAGTCACATCTCCAATTAGTCACCGCCGCTCACATTGCATGCCTTGTTAGAGCCATTTGATGAGGATTAAACCAGCAGAAGGGAGCCTGCTCCCTTGTGAGTTCCACGGACTGCCGCTTTGCAACCGCCACTCCAGCGCTTGTGTCGTGCGGCTCATCAGAAGGATCTCCAATTATGGCGCGGTTGCCTGGTGGCGGCACATGTGCTTCCTTGCACGTTGCGGGTCCCTGGCTTCCCGTTGCTTGCCGTGTGTCCGGGTTCTAGCGGCTTTTCTCCTCGTCCCACTGTCGTGGCTAAAGCATCATTTTCTGGGAGGGCCACTTGGAAGAGGCTGCGGCAGGGCGTTAGCCAGCATCAGTCATCACGCCACGCCTTTAAGCAGGTCGGTTGCAAATCAGGCAGGAATTTGTGGCATTCAAGTGGTCTGACAAGGAAGGGGGTAGTAGATAACCCCATCGCAAAATCTCAGGGGGCTTTGGGTTTCTCTTATTCGTAAGATTTTTTGTGGAGAAGAAGCAAGTTGGCTTTGCAGAGCTGGAATAGGTGCAGATGTTGTACGTATCTGACATTCTCACCTCCGTTTTCTTGCACTCGGCCACCAACCCTCTTGTGATGTGGAGTGCTAGAAATCAAAACAGGGAGCTATATTAGTCTTTGAGCTTAATGCAAATGCCTGAGCACAGGAAATACTATTCTGGGGCCTTCTGCTTCGCTTGTCTCAGAATTCCTATTCCTATCCTTGCCGGTGGTGTAAGGATTTCGTAACAGCACCAAGATCCTCACTTTCCTCTCTTCACTTGCACCTGACCTTGTGATATGTAGCTTGTAGCTAAGAATAATTGTGGGCAAGTGACAATGTCAATCCTAAGGGTATACTTGAAGAAGTGACTAATGCACAGTATGCGTTCTCCCATTGGTCTCCAGTATTTCAGCACGCACAAATGCACACTTGTGCAAAGCAGCCTGGGAAGTTCTGTGCAGCCTAAAAGTCACTTTCGTAATTGACTATAGGGAGGTATTATTCCTTGATCAATGTGTGCCTTATGAAGTTTGACTTGCAGCCTCTGATTTCTCAGAATGTATCCACCCTGACTTAAAACATACCTCTGACAAGCCCCAGGGTCACTGCTGTTTTTGTATGTATTGCTGGTCATGTTGGCTCAGTTTGTCTTCTGCCCCAATTTCTGCAAACTTTAGAACCATCCTCTCCAGATGGGTGGACTTGAATTCCCAGAATTCCCTAGCCAGCATTGCCACCGCTGAGAATTCTGGGAGTTGAAATCCACAATCAGGAGGGTATCTTCAGGTAGTGCGGTATGAGTGTTGGATTTACTCCACAGAGATTCAGGGTGAAGTCCACACTTAGCCATCAACACTCCCTGTGTGAGTTTGGGCCAGTCCTTGTCTCTCTGTTCAACCTACCTTCCAAGGTGGTTGTTGTAGGGAAAAATTGTAGGAGGGGTGTACGCTGCCTTCAGCTCCTAGAGGAAAAGCAGTATATAAATCAAAGAAATAAATATTACTAACATTTTCATTGTCCCTATCTTTCCGGGATGCTCCAATCTGGACAACGCAGGCTGTTCACAGGGCTTGGCAATTTTCTTTATTGTGTAGAACAGTGTTTTTTAAATTTGGCAACTTTAAGATGCGTGGACTTCAACTCCCAGAATTCCCCAGCCAGCCAGGGACTCCAGCAGGTTTGAGAGGACCCACAGAGCATTTCACTCATCCTGCTTACAAAAAGTCTCTAGTACCAGAGCAGTCTCCAATAGCGTAACCTCTTCGTCCGTGCGCAAGCGTAAGATCCTCTTATGTAGCTGCTTCAGGAAAAGGAAGAGAGCTGCAATAATTTCTTCCTGACTGTTTGCCTCATTCTGGAATACGGGTGTGTGAGAGAAGAGGAGAACCTTGAAAAAGGTCTGGTGTGATGACAGCAAAGTCAATTTATCATTTTGGAGGTTATCATTGTTGGGGGTAAAGTCAACCAGGTCTAAGAATTCATTACAGACTCCCCCCCCCCAGCTTTTTCCTTTTTAAAAAGAAGGTTATTAGGTTCTGAGAGGAACAGATTTCGATCTTCAGAGCCACTTAACTACCATCGCTGACCCTTTGATGCTGCAAATATATTGGTCTCTTGAAATTGTTGTTTCCATGATGACATAGCTCTCCTTTTTTCCCCAACACAGTTTTTACCACTAGCTTACCTATGTGTAGCTATGGCTTCATCTGCAATCTGTGTGTGTGTGTGTGTGTGTGTGTGTGTGTGTGTGTTTGTAATAGCTCAGCCGTAAAAGACTCTGCCTGAGTTTGCTCATCTTGCTAAGCCCTGGTTTGTTTTAGATGTAGTTTCCTAAACAAACCTGGGAGGCCTAGTTCGTGCATTAAATCGCAGCAGCATAGACCAAACTGGCTGGATTCCCACGGAGCCCAAAGTCAAACAAACCACATTATGACTTAATAGGACGCACTGAGCCCACCCCTCGCCTGCAAGAAGGCTCCAGATTCAGGGCCTGACACCTTCATTTTGAAAGGATCAGACGGAAGATCTGGATCTAAGATCCTGACGAGAGACGAGCGGTGCATTTCCTTCCAGCGAGGGTAGGCAGTAGTGGCTTAATGCTGGTATTGACCAGCCTCACAAGTGCCTGAAAAAAAATGGCTCTGCATGTATGGGGTGCTTGGATTCTAATTCTCTTAATAATCCTGTAAGACAGGCTGGCATTGATTTCCTTCTGCTGCAGATATAGGAGCTGAAGCTTGTTTAGGATCTAGTGCTTCGCCCCCCACCCACCCCCTTCTGTTGTTTCCTCATGTCTGTTTTAGATTACACGTGTCCTTTGTAAAGCACTGTACACATCGGTGGAAGTATATGAATAATGTCTTTTTGCCTGTCTTTGACCCCCTCTTTAAAAAAAAGGGGGGCTCTAGGATTGATTGCAAAGATTAAGAAGATGGTTCCAGCTTAGGGCAAGGTGAGACGGATTTGCAGCTGAGCCTCTTAGCCATATCACACCAAGCTCTGGTTAGTAAGGGCCTGTCCTCTCCGAGGATCTAGCACGCATCTCTGAGGAATGACAGAAACGTATGAGGTCTCTCTGGGTGCTGGAAAAGTCATTGCCTACAAAGCTCTGTTTTGAAAGCGAGGGGGACATTTGGCTTCACTGGGCAGCCTCGACATTCCCGCTGAAGACGTGCCCCACCCCTCAGAGCAGATCTGTGCCCCCAAGGTTGGGAGGGAAGCAGGGGCCAGGTTGAGCTTCGAACGGGGACAATAGGTGATGTCAATGAGACGGGGCAGTTCTCCCGTATGGCAACCTTTCCCTGGCCCTAATACAGGCCGTCCGATGGAGCTGTAGGACGGCAACGGTTTCTCTCCCCAGGAAGGGATGATTGCAGAACCCCCCTCTCTTTGTCTCCCCAGCTGTTTTTCTGTAGACATAAAAAAGTGTGTGGGAGATTGGTACATATTCTGCAAGTGCTCCATTTGAGCTCCACATTTGGATTGGAAGCAGAAAGATTAGTCACTCCAAGGGTGTCTGTTTTCCGGTGGCTTTTTTTTAAAAAAACAAGATTTTGTTCCTAGGAGTGCAGCGAAACAATGGTGTCTTCAGACTTTCCAGTGCGTTTCAGAAAACATTTGATGAAATCCAAGTTTCCTTTCAAATAGCTGTTGTCATAACAAGCTGGGGATGTGTGGACAGAGGGCTGCCCCACTGCATGGACTTGGGGGAGGCAGAGGTAGGACAACAGCCTTGCAGGGTAGATCAGCCATTGCGTACTGCCCATTAAGAACTCAGGAATATCAAATGTGCCTTTATATGCATAAATCCATCCTTCAGGGTCTATAGTCTGTCCCAGGACTGGTTTTATTGCTCACTTGAGCATGCAATGGATCGTAAGAATGTGAGATAAACGTGTATGTGTTTAGTTGCACCCTCATGCCACAAAATGCTACGATGTGGGGTACTCCTGTTTAGGGAACCCAGCAGCTATGCCTTTCCTCAGGATTTTGAGTTCTCCCTCACCTCTACTATTTCTGCTTCTTTCTCCCCCATCCCCAGTGCTCAGGGTTCTACCCCCCTTGTATTTAGAGGCTTCCCCTTCCGATGGTCTCCCCTTAAGACCTTGTGATTTTGGAAAACCATGGGGCTCACCCAGTCCTGCCATTACCTCCTGACTGTATCTGGGTGGTGCTGTTTTGGCTGCCTAAATGAGGGTGTGCTGACAGTTTGAACGGCAGTAATAAACAGAATTTATATACAAATTTGCAGGTTGCGAAAGGCATTGTTGGTTAATATTAGCTTTCTCTTTGTTCTCTTCTTTTCAAGAACCTTTTTAAAACACTGGGGTTGCTGGAGTGGTCCAATTTTTCCTGGAGTTGAGTGGGAAATTCAGAAGACTGAAGCCCAGGCTGACTGTCTACCTTTCACGGAGGCCGAGCCGTGAGAGGACGGAAGAAGGCACCTGGCGAATCATGACAGCAGACAAAGAGAAGGACAAAGAGAAAGAGAAGGACCGGGACCGGGACAAACGGGACAAGGCGAGGGAGAGCGAGAATTCGCGGCCTCGGCGGAGCTGCACCCTGGAAGGCGGGGCCAAGAACTACGCCGAGAGCGACCACAGCGAAGACGAGGACAATGACAACAATAGCGCCACCACGGAGGAGTCCGCCAAGAAGAACAAGAAGAAGCCCCCCAAGAAGAAGTCGCGCTACGAGAGGACGGACAACGGGGAGATCACCTCTTTCATCACGGAGGATGACGTCATCTACCGGCCTGGAGGTGAGAGAGAGAGAGAGAGAGAGAGATCCCTCTTTGGCTCTTATATCACACTCTGTGTGTGTGTGTGTGTGTGTGTGTGTGTGTGTGTGTTCGTTCCTGAGCCAAGGGGCTTTTGATTTTCTTTTTTCACTCCTATTTGGTGAGGAAGGGAAGGAAACAGTACACTCCCATTTCAGCGATCCATGCGCTTAGGTCTTAATTGAGTAGGCTGTATCCAAGGTGATAAGGTTGGGGGTTCAGAAATCTCCCTAGGAAAGATGAGTTTTAGTTGAGGAACAGTAGGAAACCAAGGGAGGGGTGGCCCAGTGACCTTTCAGGCCAGGAAGCATCAGGGGAGAAACATTGTGGTTTCTTGAGGGAACAGGTGATCCTTGGGTAGTTGAGGGGTACCAGAGCTGGGCAAGAGAAAATTCCAAATAAGGTTGTGCTGGGTTATAAGATCAGAGAGAGAAGTCTGTGGAAGTTGGAAAGCTGAAGATGAGGTGCATGTACAAGATCCCTAGGGATCCCATCCCATCCTACGCTACCTAATTGCATTTTTGTAGGACAATTCCTACAATTCATGTTAACTGGGCTCAGACTGCAATAACCATCCTTGAGTGGCTTCATTAGAACCCAACAGTCTGCTTCTCAGGGCAGCCATGACCTCCTGGTGGAAGCTGCCTTGATTTTCTGATTATTTGTAGTGCTCTCACTTCACCAGGACAAGTGTATTTATTCCTGATTCTTCTGTCAAAAGAGTAAGCGTCTACATTTATGTCTATTCTGTTGTGAAATCATTGGCATGCTATATAGGTGCTGCTGGGAGAGGAGAGATGGATATGCTTTTCAGAAGGAGAGGGGAAAAAGCACCCATGGAAATAAATCACAGGAAACAATTTTTTTAATGTGTTGCGTTGACAGAATGCTTAAAACTTCACCAGCTTGGAGATGCAAGTAGACCTTTGTAGCTTTTTTAGGCTAGCATTCTGGACTTTACCTGGAGGTAGGCTAACCCTAATGGTGGTAGGTCTCTTAATGGTGGCTACAAGATTAGGGTGGGCCACAAGCTGGAATCACCACCAACACTGCTGGCTGCTGCTAATAAAGGGGCACCAAATCCATGAAACTCACTCTGAGGACAAGTTCACCAGGCCAGAACATTACCTTCTTTTGAATAAAATTTGGCTTTTTCCAGGAAACGTCAGGTTGACATTTAATAGCATTGTCAGAGTAATAGGCCGAATGTTTCCTGGGAACTGCCCTCTTTAGAAGTGCGGCTGTATATTTTGCATTTGTCATTTGCTGTTTTCTTATTTGCTAGCTGCTTTGGGTTTAGTTTTGATAAAGAAACAGATACAAAAAGTTCTTGGCTGACGCAGGCAACCAAGCGTGTGGCTGTTTACATGCCTCAGTACATACATATCAATCTGGCTATTCCCTTCTGGGACAAGCAGCATCACGCGAAGAGCAAAAGAGTAAGACGTAGTAAGCAGAAGAAATTGGAAGCTAGGGGTAAGAAAAAAGAAAAGGAAATCTGACTAAACTGAATGCGTGCCAATGCCATTCTTTATCTTTCCCTGTGTCTTTGCTTCCATCACATCCATTCACCAATTCATACAAGCCTTGTTGAGCAGTACATCCTCAGGGATTTTCACGGAAGAGTTACTTTAGGCCAGTGTTGTCCAAACTTGGCCACTTTAAGATGAGTGGACTTCAATTCCCAGAGTTCCCCAGCCAGCATGGCTGGGGAACTCTGGGAATT